GCATTGAAATAAAAAGCAAAATATGCCCATTGCGCGCACGTGTTCCTGCATTGAAGATGTCTCTTCGTCGATGGTGCTGCACTGCACTCTGAAATAATCTTGAACATAGGTAACAATGAAATATCACGAAGTACGTTGCAGTTTCAATTTTTTTGCAAAAATTTAAAAGTGAAGCAAATGTGGTTTTCGTCGACTTCAAACGCAAAAGGGCATTAAAGCTTGAAAAATGGGTTCATCAGATGTGATAAATCCCAGCAACAAACAGCGCAGAAATCCTTACGCACATCAGAGTGCAAGTGGTAGATGTAAAGCAAATTTTACAACTTGAGCAGGGATTACAAAAATCTAGCATCTTGCCCCAAACACTCTATGGACCATGGACATGAGTTAACACAACCAAACCAAATAAATGATTCATTATACGTTGCAAATGAAAGGAGATAAAAAGGGCAGTATACTCAGGAGGAAGATCTCAATCGGATCATTAGCTTTAGAAGTATCACAGCTGCTCATGCTGCCAGAAAGATAACGAAATTAGGATTCGGGGAAAGGTTTCTTGTAGTCTGGATCACCTAAACCACGAACGCAGACAAAATTGTAACCTTATTATTGTGATCTTATCAAATTTTTGGCTGCTGCTGCCAAAGGAATTCAAATAAGGAAATCTTACGTAAACAACTAAACATCGATTCCAACTTCTGGGACAGCTAGCTGTGGGTTTCTTTCACAATGAATGTCTTAGAAGGAAGGTGCTAATATTTATGGAGTTAGGTAGACAAATTTGAGGGTCATTCTATAAATTCAGGGTCCAAAAGTGTGACATTTTTGTGTCCGTTACACTTTACCTGTGTAATTTGGCATGGAAATATCACTCCAATTGATTTCAAACTATTTCTATTTGTTTGGCAGGTAATTTGCATTACTTTATCACTCATGGAATACAAAGAATGTGTTCTGAATTTTAAAAAATCATATTGTTAGATGTGACAGAGACACAAAAAATAATGGACCCTTATAGAATGACACTTAGACTTGAAACTTAGAGTTCTGGGTCCCTTCTTACACAAAGTTAGATGCTCATTGCAATCTTCCCTATGAATTCCTCTTAAACTCCACTTATCAATAGAAAAAATCAAGTAAGTAAGAAATTTTTTCCACCTGCCCAATATTATGCGTGTAGTATAATATTATTTACATTAAGTTTATAGAATATTTTCTGTTTAATAGAAATATGCGGATATAACGTACACGGTTAATCGTTTGACATATTGAACAAAATAAACAGTCGACTCGATTGATTCTACTTTACCGTCTGAATAACTGAGAGATCACATAAAAGAATTCAAAACTCTGTCCAAAAACAAGTAATGCATGCAGAGAATGCCGTTAATTGAACAGAGGGAGTATTAAACGCTGGGACAGCGACGCTCTAGCTAAATGTTTACGGATACTATAAACTAAACATAACATATACTCCATCAACAGAAAATCTCTTTATCCAATTAGAATGTCATCCTATCCCTTTAGACGATAATTTACTGCTATTTGGATAGCTCGACAGCGATAAATTAAAATTCTTTTAGTGCAACCACTGACCCAAAAGCTTGTCTATGCAAACTTAATCGCAATAAAAAGGAATTTCCAAGTTCTCTCTATAGCTGGGTGTCCCTATAAAATGTAGTACTTAAGGCATATGTTTAACAGAGCGGGTGATATGACAAAAAAAAACACACTGACAAAACGTAAAAGTTTTACCTCCCAAAGTTCCAAGAAACATATACACATCCGGAGAATCTATAATCCAATTTTCAAAAGTTTATTGGAATATTTTTTACACCCATCATGAAAACCTTGACTATGTAATCTGTTGTAATCATTTGTCGTGCGCAGTGAATGGTAACAAGGCTGACAAGTACCAAATTAACAATTAATGAACGCACTGCGCAAGTTAAGTCTCGCGTATAATTACAGTAGCTGATGAAAGCAAACTCCGTTAGCATTCTGCTCGACAGCGTGATGTTGGAATATAGCGAGTCCATGACATGTTGTACATAAAACGTGTTACCATTCAAGTCCTCCGACATCGTCCTGAGGTCAACCAAATGCCCTACCTGCTAATATCTGCTAGAGAAATGGAATGACAAACAATATTTGTGAGAAAACTTGTGTCAAGCAGTGGATTTAACACTTTAATGTATACCACCACTGTACATGTTTTACAACTCTCTGCGGGAATCATGAAAGATATCAGAAGAATAGTACGTGCGCGTCTGAGTAAACCCTACTTGCGATATACGGCTAAATTCCGTGAACTACAACGTTAAGAGGTGAAAAGAAGCGGGCTAGAACGGTACTTTAAGCCACTTCAACGGCACACAAGGTGACCGAGCCCTGACCACGCCCAAAAAATTAGAGAGCACACGCTGTGTAGTAAAGCCAAATAGCAGCATACAAGATGAACGATGTTAATTTCTGTATTGTTTAATTCGCATTTTGAACAGCTAAGGGCGTGACATACATGAAGGTCGTAAAAAACGAATTTTTTTTTCACGTTAACCCTGAGTGATTTATTTTTCAGAACGAAATGTAGTGAGTAGCTCCCGATGACTGCATTCCAACCCTACTTCGAACATCACTGTCATACGTTACAGTATTTGTTAATTGACATGGCACCATGAACTTCTCAACAAGATATCCGACATCCTGAAAAATGTGCCATACTTTAGGCATCCAAAGGACGGGGTGACTCCACTCTTTCACTCGGCTTATGTCAAGTACAACAGCCATAATTTTGTCTTCCTCTGCCTGAAAATGGCAGTTACTATCAGACCAACAGCGGCGTAAATTTGTGCCAGGGACAGGATCAGACCAACAGTGGCGTAAATTTGTGCCAGGGACAGGGATGAAGGATGGGGGAGATGACGTCAATCAAAAAATTCCCCAGACATGGAAATTTAAAAAACGGCTGACCGACTCTAGGAGGAACTGTTCACGACACAAATGAAAAAAATTCATTTTCTGTCTTTTCAATGCTGATGAATACATATTGGTTGTTTGGAAGCCCAAAGAGGTCCTCAAAATCCACCCTTATTTTTTCTAACTACGATACGTTTGGGGGACATTTGAATAGCCTGACCCTTCTGATCAAACATGGAGAAATGTAATTTTATATACCAAATTCCCTCGGAATTGATGCCCCTACAGGCCAAGATCAAAGGACTAACATCAAGTTATAGAATCAATAACTGTGAATCAGCCATCAGACTCCAATGTTGGCGCGTGCTCTGGATCAATAACTATTATGCGCCTTCCTGATGTTGAGGTCAAACGATATAACAGAATATAGCCAAATATACAATAGGTACCCACTGTGCGTTGTAGCAATCGATAGGATATTGTTAATAGGATAGGAATTAACCACAATTTAAGCAATCGGGGACAGTGTTGATTTTTTTATCCAACTTTAGCAAACTCTAGCCGTTAAATAAAATGGCCTCCTTTCAGGACCGCAAAGAGGCACAGTAGCTGTTGTCATTTAGGATTCATACATAACACTTGACATACGATACCCACTGAAACGGCTGCCAACCGTCCACAAAACAAAGCTTTAAACAATTGACTGATTATTGCATGATCTTTTTAGTAGTACTCTATACGCCCCTCAAGGGCGGATTAAGGGGGGCCACGGGGCCATGCCCCAAACCCACTCCCCCCCCCAAAAAAAATGAGGATTTTTTAAAATCAATCAGAGTGAAGATATTACGTGTTTTAAATGGAGGTTGTTCTGTATGGACAGAGCCATCTTGTTCAAGGAAATTGTTTCTGAGCAGCTACTTCATTCATTGTGACAGGTGTAATCAATTAATGTAAAAGGCACCGGAGACGCTGCTTACTTGTTTCCCCTCCCCCGACAAAAAATTGGTCTGGCTCCGGCCTTAACACCCCCATATGTGAAACCTAAACTATAACTTTAAAACTATAGCAAGAGTTTATAGAGCTAAGAAACTATCGCTGATCATTAACCCTAACATTCCTGCACTTCTAAATGCCAATGCACTTTTTCACAATGGCCCGTCTATTGAATTGAGATTGATTTCAGAAATATATTTGGTGTCAACATGAAAACACGGGCCCTCATCA